GCACTTACTACAGCCACCAGGGCGGGTCGGTAGTCAGTGCAGGGCAGGTTCCAGTAGGCTGTGCCTGTGCTGCTTGGTGGTGTGATGTTAAGCGCACGGTGCAGGTAGGCAGGATGCAGCGGGGAGACTGTTATGTGTGGAGCAGTTTTGTCTCCCGCTGGAAGCTCTGTTCAGCTGCTTTCTCGTACCCCGTTTTCTGGTCTCCGATAGGAGTCCAAGATGGCGGATCCGCGCTGCGTTAGCTGGTAGGGGACCTCTGTATGAATCTCTGCTCGCTCTCCGTTCTCTGTCAGTTTTCTCACTCCATTTGGTGCTTGGCTGAGTTATCTCTTCATTTGATGTTTTAGGGTTTCAGGATTGTTGTTTTCTCTGTTCGGCTTAGTTTTTCTGATCTTTGCTGTGGAGGGACGGCATGGTGCTTCTGCCTAGAGTGCCATTTTGCCAGAAGTCTGCCAATAAATGTAGTTTTGAATAACAAGTATCTAGGACAACTCAAGCACAGTCTATAAAATGTAGCCTAGTCTTAATAAACTTGAGGTTTATCATTATTTAAAAAAATTAAGAAGAATAATGTCAATGGTTTAGGCCTACGTTGAATACTAGAAAAACTGATGTTTAATCTTGATTAAATTATTTTCTTCACAATTATTGTTAACACTGATGGTATAATAACAATCCAGCTATTTTCCAGGAGTGTCACTAATTGCAAGTCACTGAAGACTAAATTACTAAGGATTTTAACTACAGCACAAATATCAAAACTAAGCACTATTTTTAAACTTTAATAAGCAATCACTTTTATTTATGATTTTCATTCTGCCAGCAAATTATTTTAGTACCTACTATATGCCAGGCGGAAACCCTGGTGGCATAGTGGTTAAGCGCTACAGCTGCTAACCTAAAGGTCAGCAGTTTGAATCCATCAGTTCTACTCTGTCCTATAGGGTCACTATGAGTCGGAATTGACTCAACAGCAACAAGTTTGGTTTTTGGTTTATATGCCAGGCACAATGCACACGGCAGGCACATAACCATAGAACCAAGTTACTTTCCAAAACAAAATACACTACACTTTCTTAGAACAGAGAAATATACAGATTTCTTAAATTTATAGAAATTTTATATTATGTAATTTTATTTTACTGGTGTCTAGAGTTCATATAAAAAGTATAATGTTATAATAAACTGAATAATAATACATAAATGTATTTATTTTCAGCAGGGAGTAGAGCGGTAAAGGAGCAACACCCCAAGAACCCTGAGAAGTGCCTTGGAAACCAACAGGGAAATAGAACTTACTATCTTTATAAACATATTCCCTTGTGAACAAGAGATTTATTTTTGCAGACAGACTCTTCCATAATTCCTTTGAGTTTTGTATGTCATTGACACTGTTTGCAGATATATATCCGGTATATTAGCATACCTGACAGTGATACTTGCCACTCTTTACCTTAGAAAACAAAAGATAAAACACTCCACATTTGATGTGTAGTTCTGTAAGATGACAGAATATTTCATTTTCCTGATTAGCTGAAATCGCAAAGAATATTTCTCTAGAAACATAGAATCTGAAACTATATTTTCATATAGCATATGGTATGATTTGATATCTTTTATTACTTTTGCAATTACATTCCCAGAGCATTATTTGAAATTGCATGAATGAAAAATAAACTTCAGTCATATTTTGGGGACAGTAGAGTGTGAATTTGTGAACAACCTACCCAGGCTAAATTCATTTGTCGTTTGTATAATAAATGTAAAATAGTATTCCAGCTATTGTGCAATATGTAAATACTGTAAATAAGCACAAGTAATAAATGAAGTGTTTGTTATAATAAATAGTCTTCAAAGTGATTCTTTACTTCCTCTTTAATAAGTTCATCGTTGGGAATCCATGATTTACAAATCTATGTAGATCGCTACCTTGGCAGACTGTCACAGAAATACATAAAGCATAAAGTTCTATACTGAAACTCAGAGGCTAGGAATTCCTCTGGGAACCAGTTTTTAAGTTAGCTGTTCTTTTTAAAGTAGAGGCTTCTGCATATTGTAATCTAACTTCTTGTTAAGATAGGCCCTGACTTGGTAGTAACTATTTCAAACAAGGTTGCATCCATTAATTGCCATCATGTTATATTCATGAAACACAAAGCTAAGAGGGACCTAAAGACAACCCCAGATTTTATAGGCAGCTATATTTTAATCTGACTGGATCCAGTTTACAAAGATAAACTGAATTCAGCAAAGCAATGAGTTTCTAAGTTCATATGACCCCTTATAAACAGATGACACTGTCTGGATATAACCATAAGGGCAAAGCTGGCATAAAACTACTGATTAGTTTGAGGATCCATATTTAAGATACATATGTAAAAATCACAGGAAAAAAAAAACACTGTCGGATTTTATTTATAACACAAAGGAACAGAGAAAAATAAAAGTTCTTTAAGATTATCAAGCCATTACCAAAATCAGGACTGGGTATAACCTGGGAAAGGTTCTTGTTTAATCCTATTCTGTACCTGAAGTTAATTACTTGACCTCTTCTTCTCAGTTATTTATACTTTTAGGGTACCAATATCAAATTCTATTTTAATCTTTTCAAATTTTCTATCTTCTAGGAAGCTTTTCAGGCTAAGAATTTCATCAGGTAATTGTATGAGGGAACTGAAATCACTGTGGAGCTAGGTAAAAGTTAAAAAGACCTTTCTTCTCATGACATTGCTGGGGTCATTTTTGCCTTCCTGTACCTTCCTTGGTGAAGTGTCAGGAAAGTTACCTCACTCTCACCCAGCGAGGGGCAGGCAAACACTTCAAGTACGGGTTAGGAAACACACGGCCCACAGATGCCATGTGGGAGCTCTGTGCCGCCGCAGTATTAAAGGCTCTGGGGACAGCAGCTGGGATGCCCTCACTCAGCGGCTGCATGCGTCCTCCTCTAAATGCTTCACCACCTTCGTGTGAGGATTGAATTTTATGATTAAAAGTTCTCTCAGGATTTCAGGTCACTAACCGTGAATGGGGAGGATTAAAATGTGTAGTGTAGCAAGTTATTATCAATTACCTAACTGCTACACCACGGGGCTAACCTGGAAGGTGCCGTGTGTAGGTCTGAAGAGAGGGCAGCTGACGGGAATCCAATAAGGAAACTCATCCTCTGGTGTTTAAGTGCCCGGGAAACAGCTGTGGGCTGCAAGGACCTCAACTTTCTTGCACAAGGGAGATGTTACTGTATGTGGAAGCAAAGTGCTCATTTTCATCTTTTTACTTCCTAATGCTGATGATAAATACACACATATAACATCACGGATCATTTTGAAAGGGGCAAATGCAATGACTTCGAATGCTTCATTTGTCAATAAAAAAAAGCAGGCAGACAACAGATTTATCTCAGTTATATTTTTCCACTCCCCAGTTTATTCTTAAAACAATCTTTTCTGGTATGTACTCAAATGAATAGGAGATTACAGTGACCTCGAAATACACAGAAATTACCTATATGCTCCTATAAATTTATTAAACACTGATGAAAGAAAACTTATTAACATACCAATATTTAAGGACTTCTTCCAACTTTTTAAATTATTTTTCCCACCTAAGCCAATATAGATTTGACATTTGGGTTATACATGCATATAAAAAAAGACGTTCATCAAACTGACCATAAGATTAAACAACATACAGTGTCCTTTTGATGATTAAATTTTCAGAGGCAAAGTAGTTCAAGCAGGAGCAAATAAGCCAACTTCCTTATGAAATAAACTAGACAAAAATTAAGAAGTATCGTAGGTGCTAAAGATTCATCTCAGAAATCTTTTCCTATTCTTTTAACATACAAGTGTAGACTATGAGTGTGTATAAATCAAAACCCGTCTGATCTAGACTGTGAGCTCCGATGGCTGGGGCTGTTACTCAATAAAAGGCCCTGGGGTAAAACAGGTGGGAGGTAGTATATATAGGTGAGTAGAGGACACTTGTCCTTCACTACTTATCCATGTCAATGTACTGGAGAGGTAGAGTAGGCTATTTAAAAGTCTCAGTGGGCTCAGATGTTAACCTGGGCCTTAAAGTGATGTTTTATTATTTTATTATTCATTAACATCGTAATTAAACGTATCGGAGGGATGGCGGTCCTTAGTTTCTTACCTGCCGAACACTGGGAAAGGAAGAGTGCTACAAAACACTGAAATTTTCTCTTTTGATGTCTACTATTTCGTTTGTGATAAGGGCAAGATGGGAAGTTTAACTAATTTAAGAACATTTAATGTACCCCATAAACTGTCTGAATCAAAGGTTTTTATTTATTCTGCCAATCACAACTGATTTCCATCTACAATTATTTTTAAAGTAAGAAAACAGTCGGTCAACTGAAGAAAGAGTTGTGGCCTTGAGCCATGGAACAGCATTACACTAACACATCCACTGATGGAAAACACAGCGCATCCCAATCAAGGTTCAGGTTCATCACACCTGGTCTTCAGCGATGCATGGATGTGGCCTTAGGTGGCCTTCTCCAAAAATGCTCTGCAGCACCTAACACACTGCTGGTACACAGTCTCAAAGTCGGAGTCATTCCCCTAAAGGACAGGAAGAAGAAAATAAATAACAAGAATATGCATAACAAAAAATGTCTTTAAGACAATCTTAGTCTGTTATTTACTATGGCAGAATATACAAACATGTTAACCTTTCCACTAGCCATAAACATAAAAGTTAAAATGAAATGTGAATTGTACTTACATAATAAGGATCTTCAATAATAAGTTGTTTTTGGGGATCATAGCTTCCAAGCAGTTCAATTCTAGCTTTGCAGTTTTTAACCTGATTACGTTTTCTATTCAAATCTCTGTAAAATTGAAACGTGAACTTAAGTACTCTGATCTATGGTTTCAAGTTAAACAGGGACATCTGCTAGGGTTTATGAAACATCCATATCAAAACCCAGCAAAAATGACCTGATTTAAAAGTGAAATCAAATACTCAGCAGATCTGTATGATTCTTCATGCAGCTATATGTCCCAGGCTGCTGTATCACTAGATGAGAGAGCTCGTAACAACAGCGTATTTCCTCTGATTTCTTACACACAATAAACTCCTTTAAGCCAGAAAATAATTACGTCTTCTCCTGTGAAATATATTTCAGGACAATCAATCAATAAGAACCTGTTTCAGAGATAAAGAAAAGGTGATAGAAAGAACCAAACAGCAGTATGAAGCAAGTTCCTGCTTCTGCAGGTCTACGCTCAAGACAAAGGGCCAGCAAATCTCAAGTATCTTAACACGGTATTTCATGTAGTACACCTCACTAATTACTTTTCCTTCTTTTAGTCCTCAAGGCTCTGCCCCAAACGGAAAACTCATCTCCATCCTCCTTATGGTCTTCTACTTTTAGCTTTCATATTGCTATTAAAAGACAAACTTAGCTAAGCTATACTTTGATCATCCATCCATTTAACAAACTTCTGCTGAGCACTACAAGTCAGACACTGTGTATGGGCGTGACACAGGACAACGAAACTGCCATCTGATGAAGTTTACAGCACAGTGGTTAAGTGCAAAGACAGGGAGTTACTGAAAATCTTTAGAGAGTATAATGGAAAATCTAGCCTAGGCTACAAGGTAGCAGAAGAGATCCCTTAAACAAATTACTTCGGGCTGAAAAATGAAGGGCAAGTAGGAGCTGACTGGACACAGTAACAAAAGAGAACCTTCCAGGCAGAGGGAAGAGCATGTGCAAAACCTGAATCAGAGAAGACACTATCCTGCATCACGCACACAAAAACACCGCGTACTGAATGCCAGTCAAGTCCAAAAACGTCGTTAATAGAGTTTTCTAACAAGATATTCTTGACAATACCTACAATGCTGTTATTTTGTAAATGAGAAAAACGAGAAAACAATTACTAAAAAATAAAAACACAAAGTGTATGCATTTTAATAAAAGTCTTAATAAAAACATAGTAAGTAAATAAAATGAAAACATGATGTAATAAAAGCACCAAATGAGAATAAATGAAGGTAAGAAAGTATTATAAACTGTTTCATTCATATCTTTTATGCCGATAAAAGTAATTTAAAACACAGACAGTTTTTCCTCTCCAAACACATGGAATATTTATAAATTAGCATTGAGACCAAGTTAATAAATTCTCATGGTTACACCGAATTGTGACGAGCTCTTTGATGACCATGTGTTTGCTATTATTCATAATAGTAATGAGAGTACTGTAAACAGATTGAATAGTCTCAGTTAGATCTTAGGATATTATTAAATAGTAAAATCTGTAGTATAACAGAAAGCTCATTTCCCTGGTTTTTGAATCAGAAAATCTTTGTATGTTTCGTTTGGTCATTTAAGCTAACAGTGTTTCTAAATCTGTAAACCTACATTGTATTTGCTTGTTTCTGGCACTTTATCATAGTGTCTCCTTTCACTCTTTCTCTGGTTAGGTCTAACTTTACCCTGAGTGATACATGTAGTCCACACTAGACTCTTCTAAGAATCGTAAGGGTACCAGAGGCTCCGAGTCAGCTTTGACTCACGGTAAACCCACGTGTCAGAGCAGAACTGTACTCCACAGGGTTTTCAACAGCTCATTTTTCAGCAGTACATCGGCAGGCCTTCCTTCCAATGCACCTCTGAGTAGGATGGAACCTCCAATCTTTCAGTTAGCAGCTGAGCTTAACGAAACACCGCATCCAGGGACTCCCTTCATGAGAGCAGGCAGCATGAGTGCTGTCCCCATCACAGCGCCTGACACACAGAGCTGAAGAAATGTCACCAAGCTCTTTGAGGTAAAATATAACGCTCCCTGAGGTCAAATGCACATCAGGGGCAGTACCGCACAGGGGTTAGAAGTGTGGATGTAGTGCCACATGCTCGGGGTTTAAATCCCATCGTATCCATTCACTAGTTGTGTGAACTCGGGCAAGTAATTTAACCTCTGTGCCTCAATTTCCTCATCAATAAAACGTGGATAAGAAATACTAACCTGCCTCATTGTGTGTTGTGAGGACTCAAGAACTTAATATGCATAACGTGCTTTGAGCCAAGCATAGCACACAAAACCAGCATTATATAAGGAGTAGCCCTAATTTAATACCTTCGTCTGTCATTTTTCAATTAATGAAGGTAACTGGCAACTTGCAGTAAAAATTTTTTTTTAATCAGTCTTACCTTTTTTATAGGAGAGGGAGAAATAAGAAAGATAAGATACCACACTGTCCACAACTGCTATCAATAGCAAAATAACATTCATACTGAAATAATGCATCTATTTATATCTGTATCACCACCTACCTATTCTTCCAATTATATCATGCTAGTTGGACTTTCGCTTATCTTAATAAATATACCTAATAAGACAATTCTAAATTACTCAATGAATTTCTTGTTATTCTAAATGTTCTGCATGATGTGACCAACACTGCCTATTAAAAGTTTAAAATTTCTTTAAAAAGTCATTTTGGACAATAAACTGCCTGGCCTATGACTGAGTTGAGAGTTGAACAGAAATACTCTTTAAAAAAAAATGTGATTACCTCAGATTGCTTTCATCCATACATAGTATATAATCAAATGTGGCAAAGTCTTCTCGGGTAACCTAAAATTAAATCAGAAGTCAGAAACACAGGGTTTGTATTTATGCCAGTAAGTCTAGAAGACCCAAAGCAGTTATTAAAAAAAAAAAAAAATTTTACTGTATTTGAATCTGTTACTCACTAATTAAGATAAACAATTTAGGGCACTTTAATGAGAGTTAACCTATTTCCCAAAACTGTATTTCAAATTTTAAACTATAAAGTTCCTTGGGATGATCACAATATAATATGTGGACACAAAGATTATACCTCCGCTTCAATTTCTCAGAAAGTGTAATTCAATCAACATGCAAAAATATCATATTTAATACCCTTATTTTATTTTTTCATTCTACAAGGGCTTGCTGAGTGTCTGCCATGGCAGGCACTATTCTGGGCCCTGCTGACACACACCGAACTAAAGTCACAGAAATCCCCGTCTCTGTGGAGCCCACTTTCCACTTCCAGGAGGCAGGCAATGCACACAGGGCAATAAATGCCTTGGAGGAAAAATAAAGCAGAGGAGACAGTGAGTGTTTTGGGTGGAGGCAGGAAGATTAAAGTTTTAAACTGGGTGGTCAGGCAAGATTAAGAGAACACGAGTAACATATTCCTTAAACTGGTTTCTTCTTTACTCTGAATAAATATCCTTAATTTGAATATGACATACAAGAGTGTGCCACTCAGTATTTTTGCCAACTCTGACCTCAAAGTTTAAAATTGTTTTCTGACATAATCTGTACGTATAAGCTTCTTAAAATATAAATGAAAAAAATACTTTGTTAATTTTGATATCAGAAATAATGTTAGAACAAGTAAGAAAATAAAGGAATATCAACATGCTGCAGAATGAAGGTAGAAATAATTTCTAAGACCATAACTTCAATAATAATCTTCCTCATTAGAAAGTCCTCTAAAATACAGTTGGAAAACAATATTATAAAGAAGATACTGAAAACCTGGTAAAACAAGGTAGTGATATTCTAACCATCAGTGTAACAAGACATTAACAAATACACCTAACGTCCTGCGTAAAATGAGAAATGTTGGCTTTTAGCACGCATTAATTTTGAGTGAGTGTTCCTGCTGGTTACCGTTGAGCCGGCTCTGACGCCTGGCGACCTGCGTGTATCGGAAAGAAAAGTCGTGTGGTCCTGCACTATCTTCCTGATCATCGCTGTCAGCCCTCTGAGTGGCTGCCGCCAGTCCATCTCACGGAGAAGCCCCTCGTTTTCAGCTACCGTCTCTCTACTTTACCAAGCACGATGCCCTTTTCTAGCACCTGCTTCTTCCTGACATCCAAAGTCAGCAAGCTGAAGTCTCGCCATCCTCACTTTTAAGAAACGTTCCGGTTGTATTTCTAAGATTGATTTGTTAGTTCTTCTGGCAGTGCACGGTATACTCAATATTCTTCACCAACACCCTAACTCAAATGCATCAATTCTTTTGTCTTCCTTTTTCACTGTCCAGCTTTTGCATGTTGATAAAGTACTAAGGAATATATTTTGTTAACATTCCCAAGACATCAGCCTATGTCAAAATCTACTGGAGCAAATATTATAAGCTATGTTCACAACTTGTTTATCTTAGGATTAAATATTAAACACTGGTTTTAATTTTGGACCAATTTTGTACAGATCTTAAAAAAAGAAAGACTTAGTAACTGACAGCTATCTACCAAACCATCGGTAACTTCTGGATGGTAAAATAATTAAGAAAATAAGAGTAGCTGAAGGGTAATTAACATCATATAGACAATGTAAAGGATTTCTGCGTGCAGAAAGCTGAACCTGTACAAGGCAGAAACCTGTCAGAGAAGAAAACCTCAAATATTTTCCACTACTAGAGAGCGAGAGAAGAGTGGTAAGACCGCACCCCGTTAAAGGCGGAAAACTTTCGCAGCCCAGAAAAACAAGGCAGTCTCGCTGAGTTCCCGCTCTCGCAGGTTTCACTGTATGATGAAATAGCTTGTAGCAAAACAACAGTACCGCCAAGAACAACTAGAAAATCCAGACAAAAACCCAAAAACATCTCTTAAAGCCATCAGAGAGCGTCTGTGACGAGCAGGCTTTCCGAGGTCAAAATCCCAAAGGGGAGTACACCACAGAGCAGGGGTCTGCTAACCTTTTCTGTAAAGGCCGGAGAGCAAATATTTTAGGCTTTTTGGGCCATAGGGTGCCCGTCACAACTACTCAGATCTGCTATTATGGTACAAAAGCAGCTACAGACAATATTAAAAGACATTTCGCTGCGTACCAATACAACGTTATTTACAAAAAAAGGCGGCAAGCCTAAGGTTTGTCTACTTGTACCACGGACGGAGCCCTAGTGGTGCAGTGGTTAAAGTGCTCGGCTGCTAACCCAAAGGTTGGCGGTCTGAACCCACCAGCTGCTCCACTGGAGAAAGATGTGGCAGTCAGCTTCCGTAAAGACTTACAGCCTTGGAAACCCTATGGGACAGTTCTACCCCCTACAGGGTCGCTAGAGTTGGAATGGACTTGACAGCAGTGGGAGTGGAGACCCTAGAACAGAGATTCTTGAATCTTTTAGTTGGAGAATGCTTTTAGACTCTTAAAAATTATTTAGGACCTGCCTCCAAGCAGCTTTTGTTTATGTGGGTTATCTCTCTCGATATTTATCACATTTGCTATTAAAACTGGAAAAAAATTTAAAACATCTATAATTCATTTAAAAACAATAAGAATTCATTACCTAATATAACACACATACATATTTAAATGAAAAATAACTACACTTTGCAAACTTAATAAAGAAAACAAAATTGGTGAGGAGAGTGGCATCGTTTTACATTTTGCAAATCTCCTTAGTATCTGCTTAATAGAAAACAGATGGATTCTCATATCTGCTTCTGCATTTGCTCTGTTGCAATATGCTGAGTCGAAGCATATAAAAAAAGTATGTAATTTGAAAGGTGTATTTTAATAGCTTTTTAAACTAACTGGATATTCTTCTTTGATACTACACTAAAACTCTAAGTGGTAGTTTCTTCAAAGTTAGCTGCAAAGTGGAATCTGAAACCACATCAAACTTTCATACATACTCTACTTCATTAAAATCCACTGGTCTGTCTTGCACTTTGAATGGATCTTTGACTCATACATGATCTTAACCTCATGGATCCCCTGAAAAGATCTCTGGAAACCCCAGAATTCTCCAGACCACACACTGCAAATCGCTATTTTTGTGGTTCTCAAGGGAGGGAGAAGGCTGTTTTGCCCCCATGTCCCTCCCCCCACCCCGGACAGCTAGCAATGTCTGGAAGCACTTCTGATTGTCACGGCCGGGAGGGGAGAGGGTGCTGCTGGCATCAGACGGGTAGGGGGCCAGGGAAGATGCTAAACATCATACAATGCACAAGACAGCTCCCACAACAAAGAGCTACCTAGCCCAAAATGTCAACAGTGCAGAGGTTGAGAAATCTTTCCTAGAAGACTAAGAATCCTGGCAGAGGGCCATTGCTGAAAAGCAAAAATCCAAGAGAACCGTCAGCAACTTCATGGAGCTGAAGAGAAAAACTGGGGATAAGGAAACAGCAAGACAGCTAGAACTCAAAAGAGCAAAGATCCCAGAAGAAGGGGTCACACTCAGAAGTTTCCCCCTCAAAGCATCTGCCAAATTTTTAAACTACTCAGGGCAAAAACCTAAGAAGCCAAGTAGAAAGCTGTAGCAGACTCACAGTAACAAGGAAAAAAAACTCTATTCCAGAAGTGTCACGCAGGAGGAGTCCTATCTAGGAAACAAGTCCTATCAAGCTCTGAGTTGGCAGTTCCTGGAGAGCTCACCCAAGGAGTGGAGGCAGGTCTAAAGTAGACCGAGCCTGACCAAGGTTACAACCCAGCCCCAAGTCAGCTCAACCCTCTACTGTATGAAGGTGCTCTGGCCTAATCAACCTACCTACAAAAGTGAACTATCATCCAAAGCTTCTACAATTGTTCATATACCATATTCAGCATTCAGTCCAAAACTGGCAAGCATACTGTCTTAGTCATCTAGTGCTGCTATAACAGAAATACCACAAGTAGATGGCTTTAACAAAGAAAAGTTTATTCTCTCACAGTCCAGTAGGCTAGAAGTCCAAATTCAGGGCATCAGCTCCCGGGGAGGGCTCTCTCTGCCAGCTCTGGAGGAAGGTCCTTTTCATCAATCTTCCCCTGGTCTAGTTGCTTCTCAGCACAGAAACCTCAAGTCCAAAGGATGCACTCTGCTCCCAGCACTGCTTTCTTGGTGTTATGAGGTCCCCAACTCTCTGTTCGCTTCCCTTTCATCTCTTGTAAGATAAAAGGTGGTGCAGGCCACAACCCAGGGAAACTCCCTTTACATTGGATCAGGGATGTGACCTGAGCAAGGGTATTATATCCCACCCTAATCCTCTTTAACCACAGGCAGAGATTATGATTTGTAACACAGGAAAAATCACAAATGGAGGACAAACACATAATACTGGGAATCATGGCCTAACCAAGTTGACACATATTTTGGGGGGACACAATTCAATCCATGACACATACCAAGCAATGAAACAAAGAAAAGAAATCGAAAAGATCACAGATGACCCAATACTGGTGTTACCAGACAGAGGCTTTATCTAAAATAACTGCGATTAACATGTTCAAGAAAATACAGGGTAAGGTACAGAATTTCACCGGAGAACTGGAATCTACAAATATTAAAAAAAAAAATCAAGAAAAAATTACAGAATTAAAAAAAATCAAATAATAAACATTAAGAACTCAGGAAGCAGAGGTTTAAGGGCTGTTTGGAACCAGAAAGAGTATCTCTAAACATGTTGGTAGAAAATCTCACACTGAAGAGTGAGCAAAAACGATGGAAAACACAGAAAAAGGAGTAAGAAATATATGTTTGATACACATGTAAGTGGAGTTTCAGAAGAAAAGGAGAGAATGAGAGGGAAATATGAAAAGATAACCTAGATTTTTCCAAAATTTATGAAAAACATTAATTAAACCACAAATTCAAGAGGAAACTTTTTGCATACCACAGT